TGTGACGAACCAAACAGTTCGCTGGGCGTGATCTCATTTCCTCCATGTTTATGCTTGATAAATTCGCCTATAGTGACTTTCATCTCAGTCAATTTTTGTTACATCTGTCGTCACAGCCAGTTATGAGGCGGTAATCCTTCAACCCACACAACATTCAGACTCATCTGCATTATGTACTGCGGAGACTATGCGAGCCTAGTCACCGCACTCAAGCTTCTCAGTTGAACCAATCAGAACATGATACTAAAAGTACATAAGCCAGAAACTATAAAAACAGATACTCTTCTCCGCCACTCGCCTTGTTGCATTGGGGCCCCGTGTGACCGGACTCTCCTCTCTTGAACCGAGGCCAAATTATGTTATTATCTTTGCCTTCCTACTCCGAATTGTAGCCGGAAACTTTTCTTGTTCTATGCAAGCTGTTGCGTGACTCCTTTTCTTATTTCTTTATCCAAGGGCGAGGTTCTCCAAACTGTAATACAGTAGCGCTAAGCAGAGTGAAGTGAATATTTGTCAGTAAAGGTCAAATGAGAAGGCAGGCCTTCTCATTTACTTAGTCCTGTTACTATGGGCCTGTTACTTAGTCCTGCGTCCTCTGCCATAGTACTCATGATTTCCAACATCGAACCGTTGACTTGGTACATTGACAAACGTTTCGCGGGAACCGTCAGTGAGAGGCGCCATGGCTAGCACAGAGTTAGAAGTTATCAAAGTGGCAAGTGAAGGCAATCACCTTAGCCAATTTTCTGTTCAACCTCTGTAGCATCACTCCTCGCCCGTATTTTTTGTTTTACCAACTAGTGCTGCATCCCTTTCTCTACCTTATTTAATATGGCCCATCTACATATTCAAACAATTCTATGCATTCATTTCCTCCAATGTTGCTTAAGTGTGTGACGCTACAAGTGGGTATAGTGAAGCATAATTACTTTCACCACCGGCTCCAGGTTCCGTTTGCAGTGCTCCTGACTGGCTGTGTGAAATCTGGCTGTCCGAGAGCCTTCAATTTCCGTCCATGATAACACCATATTAGAGAAGTTAAAACGGATGATGCCCATGCCCATGACTATTCAAATGCCAGGGAATCTTCCTCTCTCTAAGCTTCAAACCCATGACTCAGTTATACTAATTCCAGATTTCAGACAGTTACACAGTGGTTTTGATTTCTAGCCACGACCAATTGACAAGCGGGTAAGAGAAGGGGAGTAGAATGTAGGTCATGAGCCCAGCAAACGACATTTGGTATCGGTGATGGAGATGATTACGCTTCACTAATTCCACATGTAGCGGCACACTCCTAGAAGAAATTGTAGCAAACGAGAGCACATAATTGTGCTAATAGGTAAATGGCTCATATGAAGAGGGGTTGAGAGAAAGAGATGCAGCACTATAAGGTAAGACAAAAAGAGGGGTGAGGAGTGATGTCACAGTAGATGGACAGAAAATTGGTAAAGCGGATTACCTTCATTTGTAATTTTGATAAGTTGTAACTCTCAGTAGACAATGTCGGCGAAATGTATGAGAATGTACCTAGTCAACAGTCCGATACTGGAAACTACTAGTTTTATGGCAGAAAACAGGACTAGGTACGTTTGACAAGGTCTCCATGACGCTCCTTACAGTATTAATAAGCTAATCTTCCATCTATCGAATACATCATCTATCACAAAATGGCTAGCCAGCTTTGATAAGGCCTAAAAGCCTTTTGCTCTAATGAAGCCAAATCAGCTATCAATTCTCATATTGGTTTCGTTGTCTTCCATGAGTTCGGACTCCAAAAAAGGATTTAACTTATGTCTGCATCCTATCTGCGACCGGAATATCATAGAAGCAAGCGGATCCGCATTATTTCAATGCTCATTGTGGAAGGGAAATCATTGACGAAACAAAATAAAAATGGATTCTGAAATGAGAACGATGTGCGTAAGACTAATGGGTGTCTGACCTTGAGTCGATCTAATCGCAACGACTCGGCATAAGCAGCCTCCTGTTCAGCTAGCACCTGCTGTCTGGCGAGTCGCTCCGTCTCCGCTGCCCATTCTTCAGACAATCGGTCTGTATAGTCTAGCCAGGCCTGGTAGATCTGCGCTGCAACCGCATCTGCCCACAAGCTGCCCTTCACTCCGGTTCCTGTGGCCGTAGTCTTCCCACAGGTCTCCACACTATGCACAACATTCATCGATGCATGCAATTGCAGATAAATACAGATGCGCACAAAAAAAACACGGATAGACGAACACAAACACAAGTACGATTATAAATAATAATGCAGGCACCTATTCAAAAAGATATGAAAATATTTGATCAAAATGTGGAAAAGCATCCTAATGCTTTACGAGTATGCACGAAGAAATAATTTTAGTTGCTGTAACCGTATGTCTTTCCAACTAGAACATTGACCAAATAAGCTATCGAATTAAAATCCAATCTCAAAAACAAGTTTTACGAGTAAAACGCCCCAGGGTTGGGGAAACGGCGTATGGACAGACAACTGTAGAGCTACAGGCAAGTCATGCGAGGAAGGAAATTGTTTTTCTTACCTAGGACACATGCGTCATCATCAAGACTTACAGTATGTTAGAAAAACGTTAGATTGGAATATATTCTAGATTTTTTATAAGTGGAATAATTTGCGTACACAGGCTTGGAGTGGCGACACAAGCGAAGAAGGCTTATACCATAAGTCATAAACTGACAGAAAATTGACGCATATGAGAAAGATCATTTTCACTTGTAACTAGTTCACAGTCG